AGAGATGGGGAGGGGGAGAAAGGGGGGGCAATAAAGAGATGGGGAGAAAGAGAGGGAAGAATGAGACACAGGGGGAGAAAGAGAGGGAAGAATGAGACAGGGGGAGAAAGAGAGGGAAGAATGAGACACAGGGGGAGACAGAGAGGGAAGAATGAGACACAGGGGGAGACAGAGAGGGAAGAATGAGACACGGGGAGACAGAGACAGAGAGGGAAAAATGAGACACAGGGAGAAAGAGGGGGAATAGAGAGATGGGGAGGGGGAGAAAGAGACAGAGAGGGAAGAATGAGACACGGGGGGAATAGAGAGATGGGGAGGGGGGAGACAGAGAGGGAAGAATGAGACACGGGGAGAAAGAGGCGGAATAGAGAGTTGGGGGAGGGGGGAGAAAGAGAGGGAAGAATGCCCCCCTCTCGCAAGAGCAGTAACGTTGCCATGGTAACCGCGGCAACGCTCTGTGCTCGCGCAAGAAGGACCCAGAGGAGCTGCAGGGTGAGCTCCCAGGTCCTCTCTTCCTCCCCTGCCCGCATGGTGCCTGCGGACAGGGGAGGAAGAGAGGACCTGGGAGCTCACCCTGCAGCTCCTCTGGGTCCTTCTTGCGCGAGCACAGAGCGTTGCCGCGGTTACCATGGCAACGTTACTGCTCTTGCGAGAGTCAACTCTAGCCCTGGAGCTACGGGCTAGAGTTCACTCTCAACACTGTAACCCCCATGGATTCCTGGTGGTCGCAGTGGTGAGAGTGAACTCTAGCCCCATAAACACACTGCCCCCACACACACACCATACACATTCACACACTGCCCCCATACACACCATACACATTTACACACATTGCCTCACACACACACATACACTGCCCACCCATATACACACAGACCCCCATACACAGCCCCCCATACTAACATTGCCACACACATACACTGCCCACACACCCTACACATTCACACACTACACCCCCACACACACACTGAACCTTTCACACACATTGCACCACTGCTCCTATTCCCTACTACAGCCTCATATCCCAGCAGACCCCAGGTAAGTTGTCAAACTGTTCTTAAACGGTTTGACTACTTACTCTGGAGCAGTAGTGGTTATTGTGCATGGATTATTTCTTTAAATAATCTACAAGTGCCCCAGTAGCCAGCCAGCCAGCCAACCCACAGGCTGGCCAGTAGCCAGCCAGTTAGCCAGCCCACAGGCCAGCCCACAGGCCTACAGCAAGCCACAGGCTTACAGCCAGCAAGCCACAGCCTGCCAGCCAGCAAGCCACAGCCTGCCAGCCGCAGCCTGCCAGCGCAGTCAGCAAGCCCACAGCCTGCCGGCAGTAGCCAGCAAGCCCACAGCCTGCCAGCCGCAGCCAGCAAGCCCACAGACTGCCAGCCAGCAACAGTAATTAAGGTAAGAGGAGCCAACTTGGCTTAGGTATCAGCGAGCTATGTTGTGTTGCTATATTGTGAATAGGAAGAGAGCTGGAGAGACCACCCTCCAGGCCCCATTAGACTCTAGCCTCTGCTAGAAATCCCCTCCATGGCCCATTAGCCCTCAATTGTAGTTTCTACTGGGGCCTGGAGGCGACTGTTTCCAGCAGGGGATATCTAATGGACGCTGAGATGGCCTCTGTTAGAAAGACCCCCTTCCAAGCCTTTTAGACTCCATTGTAGTCTCTAATGGGGCTTGGAGGGGATTCTTTCTAACACACCCTCTAAAGGACACTGAGATAGCCTCCGCTAGAAAGACCCCCCTCCATGGCCCATTAGCCCTCAATTGTAGTCTCTACTGGGGCCTCGAAGGGCTTATTGCCCTTTTGTTCCTTGTGTCTAAAGATTGTGTAGGGTGTGGCTGGAGGCGGTGCATGGAGGCGGGACAAGGGTGGCGCTTGCTGCAGAGTATGGGTGGGGCCTGTAAGGGGGCCCTTGATTTATTTTGCCCGAGGGCCCTGAGGGTTCTCAGTCCGCCCCTGACTGACAGACATACTGACACAAACAGACACATACTGACATACACCTACACTGACAGACATACTGACACACACATAAACACATAATGACAGACATACAAACATACAGACACACACACATAAACACATGATGACAGACATACTGACACACAAGCAGACACATGCATTGACACAGACACACATTGACAGACATACTGACACACAGAGACATACACTGGCAGACATACTGATACTGACAGACATACTGACACACACGAACACACCATGACCAACATACTGACAAACACACTGACACAGACACACACATACACTGACAGACATACTGACACAGACATTGATACATTCACTGACACAGACACACACACACAGACATACTGACACATACACACACAGACATACTGACATAAATATTCACTTTTAAACCCACCCTCCAGTTTCCTACCTTGAGGGTGGTGTCCCTGCTGTCTGAAGGTTGAGGCTGTTGGGAGTTGGGTTCTGCCTCTCACGGCCCAGCCTCCCTCCTTCTTGCTTCCTCCATCTACCGCGCTGATCTTTTCCTTAGTGGGAGGAAGTGACTTGCGCTGCCAAAAAGCAAGGGACCCAGTTGCGCTGTTAACATGCCACAGTGTGTGACTGGCCCCTGCTTACAAATGCCCATCGGGTGGCCCTTAGTGTGCATTTCGCAGGTTGTGTCGGAGGGCCCAGGGGGGGGGGAAATTGTTAAGGGCAGCAGGGCCAACGGGCCCCCCAAGAGTAACTGGCAGCTGCCCCATTTGCCCCATGTTAAAGACAGCCCTGAAGTGACATTGACTTTTAGAGTGTCAAAGATGACCCCAGCCCATCACCGAACGTGCCTTTAATAGGGACATGAGCATTAGTACTGGTCCATGGATCAATTGAAGAAGATTGCCTGGTCTGATGAATCATGTCTTATTTTACACCAGGTGGATGCATGTGTGTCATTTAACTGGGGAAGATGGTGGATGTCGTGTTATGCTTTAGGCAATGTTCTGCTAGGAAACTTTGGATCCTGGCATTCATGTGAGTGTTGACATGTACCACCTATCTAAAGATTGTTGCTGACTACGTACACCCCTTCATGACAATGGTTATCCCGGATGTCAGTGGCCACTTTCAGTAGGATTGTGTACCCTGCAACACTGCAAAAAAATTTAAGAATGTTTTGAGGAACATAACAAATCATTCAAGATGTTGCCTTGGCCTCCAAATTCCCCAAATCTCAATTCGATTGAGCATCTGCGGGCTGTGCTGGAAGAACAAATCCGATCCATGGAGGCCCCAGCTTGCAACTTGCAGAACTCAAAGGATCTTCTGCTAATGTCTTGGTGCCAGACACATTCAGAGGACTTGTGGAGTCAATACCTCAACCAATCAGAGCTGTTTTGGCAACATGAGAGGGGCCTACAAAATATTAGGCAGGTGGTTTTAATGTTGTGTATGATTAGTGTATAATTAGATAGATAGATAGATAGATAGATAGATAGATAGCAATACATAGCACATAACAATGATGTAGGGGACCTGTAAAATACATTCAAAAAGGGGTATATTTATAAAATATAAAAAAAACACACAAAAACTTTTTCAATAACATTTTCTGAATACCGAGAGGAAAACTAGCACCCAGCTAATCAATGTTGGATACGTAATTAGACAGGCCAATTCTAAATTATCTAAATATTCCATTATAATGTCTGTTATGTACTTTATCTATTTCTATGCACATAATATCATTAATTGGCTGAGAGCACCAAGCTGATGCTCTCAGCCAATAAATGGCCAACAGGATTGCCATCTAGCTTCCACAGCTCTGTAGAAGCTGGATGTTGTCACAACCAACAGGAGAAAAGACCAGGCATCTAGCAGAACTCAGGTAAGAGGGCAAAATGAGCCAGTATACCCCTGGCATCATAACCACTAAAGTGGACTATAGTGGTTATGACGCTTGGGGTAACCATTTAAAGTATAGGAAGATGTGTTCAAATAGTTGAACTGGGAGAGAAATTGGCTGCTGAAATTTATTGTCGAAAAATGTAAGAAAAAATAAATAACATTCTAGGACAGGGTTAGCCAAACATCCCCCCTCCAGATGTTGTGAACTACATCTGCCCTGATGCTTTGCCACCATTATGGCTATAAGAGTATTGTGGGAGATGTAGTCCACAACACCTGTTATGCAGACGGTTGTCTATCCCTGTTCTATGAATACATTTAGATTTGCATTTATATTTCATATTGAGTTGATTTGATGAAATAAATGAAAATTATTTTTTTTTTAAAGTATTAAAAACCATACTTAGTAAATGTGTCATTGAATGGAAGGACCTCTGAAGTATTTCCATGCATTAAAAGGCTCTTAACTGATGAAAATATGATTTTATAAGGAAACAATAACCAGCTAACAATAACCAAGCAATGTATATGATCAAGAAAGTAGCATCAAGTTAATAATGAAAGAGCATTTGAGTTTATCAGAGCATGATAGTGAGCCCTCTGTTGAAAATGTACTGGAAACGCAGCTGTTTGAGTACTGACAGCATATTCAATCCAAGGTATCGAGGTATGTTCTTTAACCCCTTAAGGACCAAACTTCTGGAATAAAAGGGAATCATGACATGTCACACATGTCATGTGTCCTTAAGGGGTTAAAGCAGTGCAAGATTACTTAGATCTATTATATAACAATAAGAACAAAAAAGTTCGACATAACTCAACATCCACAGAACATGAAACAATGACTGAACTTTACCTGGCCTACCGTTATACTACAAATTGCAGGTTAAGGCGGCAGTATAGTCCTGCTTAATGAAGATAACATCAAGCAAGCCCACCAGAGTTTATATTTTATTGAGAGTTCTCAGATACTTTTAAAATATTCCACTTATTAGTTTAATTAAATGTATTTAATGTGTTGTGCGTAGTATTACACATGAGAGGGACATTTCTATTTTCTACCAGTGAATAATGCTATATTGTTTTAACTTTTATTATATTGAAAAAGTAATTGTAAATGTTTACCAAAAAATATTACATCACTTGAAAAGCTTATCCAACAATATTTAGGTCAATATTGGTTAACGCATGCACATGATTAATATTCAAAATTGTGAAATGCGAGGAATTTGGCCTAAATTTTGAAGTTTAGTTTGAATTTATTTTTAAGTTGCAATAATTAAGGTTGTTAATTTCAAAGTTCATAATAATTAAGTAGATTATTAACTAAATTATAACATGTTTAGAATCTACAAATATTAAGATGAAAACTGTTTATGAGATTTTTGTTTTGATTCCTAACAATTCCCAAAGTAGTGAATAGCTGTGATAGATTTTTATTAGCAAAGGTCATCTTCCATTTCACACCATAAATATTGTCAATATATCTTCAGTTCTTGATTCCTTAGAAAACAGAGTACTTTTTACGAATCTAGTTCTCTTTATACCAATTTATTACAGTTAGTATTTAGATAAAATATAATGTTGAACCAGACATAAAACTGTTTTTTACTGAAGAGGAAATTGTAAAGTGAAAATAAAAATGCCAAATTTAGTCCAAAACAGTAAAAAAAAAATGTTTCCCCAAAGTGGTTACTTAACCCTTATCCTAAAGTTTGCAA